TGTTTAATTTTTTTTTTGCATGGCCCCAGGGCTCTTCCGTACTTCCTGATCCCTCCCTTCCTCCTATTATCTAATTTAAAAGCTCCGGTAGACAACATACATTTCGGCGATCACATTCTTTGTGACAGGTGATCTGTCTATCTTTGCTTAAGCCCTTGCAACCCTCTATACCAGAGCAGTCACTCCCCTGGCAGCTGGGGGAGTTGTTCTGCTCCAGCAGTGCTACCCCTGAGCTGATATCCCCAATATCATGCAAACTGGCATATTTATTGGGTGGTAACAATTGAGGACTAGCCTTTCGAACACTCTTCCCTCTACCCTGCCTTCTGACTGTTACCCAGCTTCCAATCTCTGGGTCCTGTCCCTCCATGTTACTACCCTCCTCCTAGCTGGCTGGAGTCATCTGGAAACCGACAAAACAGTTATTTGGGGCCTCTTGCAGCAGCCATGTGGTCAGTGGGCTTGTTGCTATTGGGGCGGGCCCAAATAACCTATGGCCACTTTAAACAGCAGAACCTCTCCTCCCAGCAGGTAGGATGACACCTCCTAAAGTGATTGGCCAAAAGGCTAGCGCTCCTCCCACACCCATATCTCAATAAATTGGGGAGCTGGAACCAGGAACCTTGTATGGGTCTGGGAGAGAGTGTATCTAATGACCAGGGCTCGAAAATCCACTCGTCTGCTCGTCTGTGACGAGCAGACAGTGGAGCCCGACGAGCAGCTTCCAGGCCGGCCGGGAGCTTTACAGTCAAGCGATCGAGCGCCTCGAGAAACGCTCGATCGCTTGTATCAGAAGCTGTCACTGCCGTTGCCGGTCCCGAGATCCGCTGTGCCCGATGCGGCCGGGACCGGCACGGCTCTGTGACAGGAGATCAAAGGGAGTTCAGTATACGGACTCCCTTTGATCTCCTCTCAGTCCCCGAATGCAGGAAGTGATGTATATTACATCACTTCCTGCATTCAGTGTCACTCTCCAGCTAGAGAAGCTGATGAAGCCGATCTCTGCCTCATCAGCTTCTCTGGGGGTCCCTAGGTGACTTTAGGGTCTTGGAGACCCCTGATGTCTCCATTAAGAGGACCTGTCATGTAAATTAGCTACCCCATAGGGGGCTTCTTAGCCCCCCATGTAATAGCAATAAAGTTGTGTTAAAAAAAAAAAGTTATATAAAAATTAAAGAATCATAAAAAAATAAATAAAGAAGCATAAAAAAAATTAAAAAAGAAAACATTTTTTTAAGTCCCCCGCCCCCCACATACACACGTAGATATGCGTCGGGTGCGCCTACGTGCGAAAACGACGATTGCGCCTATTGTGCTGCACATGTTACATATCGCCGCAAATGTCGGAGTGAGAGCAATAATTCTAGAGCCATCAATCACTGATAACACTAAACTGATGAGCAGTAAAAGCATTTTAATCGTCGCGTATGGGCGTTTTTTGCGATTTTGCGGGCACACGCAATTTTAAGGCTTGACGTGTTTGGTGTCTATTTACACGACGTGACCCGATCTTTTATGTTGTACTAAAAATATGGGTAAGAATAAATGTTTTATAACATAGGGAAACTTTTTTTTTTTTTTTACATTTATGGTACTTTTTTCATTATAAAGTAAAAACAAAAAAACCCCCGTGGGGTCACAAAACAAAGCTCTATCTGTCCCCAAAATTTTTTAACATATATTGCAAGGCTATAGTCCGGTCATGCTGACTGGTGAAATTTTTGACTGACTGGTGAGACACCCCCAAATTTTTCAAGCCCTGCTAATGACACAACGTTTACAGATTTCTAGCATTCTCCCGTCAGCAGGATAAACAATACTGCCCACCGGTAACGTTTTTTTCTGTTTTTCTCCTATTTTATATCACTAGCCAACATTTTTTGTATGTCATTGTCTTTCATACTACTTCTGTACATACAGTATTTCGATTGCACTGCCTGCCTAGGGATAATAAAATATCAAATTAATAAGTGGCCTTCTGTGTACTAAAATATGAATTCATACTCCTAGAGACATTGGTCAACGTACACTTGGTTGTAAGATCACTGTTAATCTGTATTAAATTGCATTGTTTTATTGCTGATTGCATGCAGATTAATGTCAGTGTGTATATGTTAGCAGATCTGAGAGACAGGGATCTGTGTGTGTTTGGTTTCCTAGCAGACCAGTCAACTTATGAACTGCAGATGGTGACAGATTATTGTTAGTCATGTGTGTGGGTGTATGCAGTAGGAAATGGTAAAACAAGGATTCTAACTTGTAGGATAGCATTAGGAGTCGCAGAAGTGTGTTAATTAGTGATGGGCCGAACAGGCCCGAGTTCGGTTCGTATTCGAATGTCCGAAAAGTTTGAATTCAAACTCAATGCAAGTCAATGGGGGTAGAACTTTCAAAAACGTCTGTCTTTAAGAGGGCTTGTATGCAAGTTATTGGCCATAAAAGGTGTATGGGGGTCTGGGTACTGCACTAGGGGACAGGAATCAATGAAAACAAATACGTTTTTAAAGGTAACAATAAAAATGAAAAATTCCTTCAAATATCGTGCCTGAGGGGTCCCCTTAACCTGCCTGTAAAATGGCAAATCTGTACGATGTATTGAACCTGCTGCAGCAAAACTGAAATTTCTAAAGAAAAAAAAATTATTTTTTGTTGTTGATTCTTAAAGCGTGCAGTTCCCCCTTCCAAACAATACCAGACCCTTCAGGTCTGGTAGGGATGTTAGGAGGGACCAAATTAAAAAAAAAAGTGTAGGGTCCCCCCTAAAAGTTATACCAGACCCTTTAGGTCTGGTAGGAATATTTAGGAGGCACCCCACCGCCAAAAATGAAGGGGGGGGGTTAAATAAAGTTGTTATTACAAAGTCCAGACTTTTGACGAAATCCTTTATTTGGTTTTAGGTTTAAAACCCAAAAAATGGATACACCAACGTAATCCATGGTCAATCACGACGTCCAGCGTTGTCCATGACGACGACTACGACTTGACGAAATAAAAAATAAAACAATAAAAAATAAATAGAAATAATAAGAAAAACCTGACGACCGCCGACAAACACATGCCGCATAATGGCATTTTGACAGATGCCGGCAAAACAAACAATTGGGTGGGGCTAGCGTTGACAGCTAGCCCTGCCGAACTGTGTAGTTTGACGTCATCTGACAGGTGAGCCCTGATTGGGCAAAGTCTTGCACCTGACCCGTGGTCAGGTGCAAGCCTTTACCCAATTAGAGTTTCACAAGGCACACTGTCTTGTGGGATGTTGCGCGGTCGAACATACCGCAAACATCCTACAAAGTTCGTGCGTTCGGTGAACACACAAACTAGCGTTGTTCAAGTCGAACTCACGTTCGACTCGAATATACGGCCCATCCCTAGTGTTAATCGCTTGGTTGCTGCATAGCCCGTAAGGTGCCCATACACCTTACAATTATCTGCAGATTTTCTGTGGTCAGATGGAAAAAGTGCAACATATTGGCCCAGGTGGAGATTACTCCATCCACACAGTTAAGTGTAGATGGAGGAATCTGTTGCACCTTTTCCATCTGACCACAGAAAATCTGCAGATAAATTGTAAGGTGTATGGCCAGCTTAGAGTGCACCAGATTGCGTCTAAGATTTGTGTCTATGCTTGTGTGTTCAGTAAGCTAACTTTGGGATAGTTGCCCTCCAGTGGCAGGCAGTGGTATTACATGATGTGACAATTGTTTCGCAGGAGTGTTTTATCAGCCCCAAAGCACCCTCCTCCCTCTTTCGCCAAACAAGGACCCTGCTCTGGATAGCCTGTTTATTCACTTATTAGTATATTTGCTTAATTGTTCATTAATCAGTGTTTATTTTTATACGCTTATTCATTTGTTTAGTGATGTATGTATACATATTAATTGTATAATTATTAATCCATTCATTCCCTTTCAACCAGGCTGCTTTATAGTGTTTGTTTTTTTCCCTTTTAGGTTCTGTATCAAAATGGAATTTCACTGAAAACTTCATTTCTATTCCTTTCCTGCTGCAGTAGTGTTCATATTCTGAGAACTCTTTTTTTATTGCCAAAAGGTCATATTCCATACCCTCTGCCTGCAGAGTATAACTATGGGTATGTATTTATTAAATTATTTATTACTGGTATTTAAAAAGCGCCAACAATTTACGCAGCGCTTTACATGTGCACATTCACATCAGTCGTTAAATAGTATTTTTTGAAACTTGCTGAAAGTATGGTGTATACTTAGCACATTAAATGCCCTACATACACTATATTGCCAAAAGTATTGGGACTCCCCTCCAAATCATTGGATTCAGGTGTTCCAATCACCTCCATGGCCACAGGTGTACAAAATCAAGCACCTAGGCATGCAGGCTGCTTCTACAAACATTTGTGAAAGAATGGGTCGCTCTCAGGAGCTCAGTGAATTCAAGTGTGGTACCGTGATAGGTTGCCACCTGTGCAATAAGTCCATCCGTAAAATGTCCTTGCTACTAAATATTCCACGGTCAACTGTTAGTGGTATTATAACAAAGTGGAAGCAACTGAGAACAGCAACTCGACCACGTAAAATGACAGAGCAGGGTCAGTGCATGCTGAAGTGCACAGTGCGCAGAAGTCACCAACTGTCTGCAGAGTCAATAGCTACAGACCTCCAAACTTCATGTGACCTTCAGATTGGCACAGCAACAGCATGAGAGAGCTTCATGGAATGGGTTTCCAGGGCCGAGCAGCTTCATCCAAGCCTTACATCACCAAGTGCAATGCAAAGCGTCGGATGCAGTGGTGTAAAGCACACCACCACTGGACTCTAGAAAAGTGGAGACGTGTTCTCTGGAGTGATGAATCACGCTTCTCTCTCTGGCAGACTGATGAACGTGTCTGGGTTTGCCAGTTGCCAGGAGAACGGTACTTGCCTGACTGCATTGTGCGGTTTATGATTATGGTGTAGGGTTGTTTTTCCAGGGGTTGGGCTTGGCCCCTTAGTTCCAGTGAAGGCAACTCTTAAGGCATCAGCATACCAAGACATTTTGGACAATTTCATGCTCCCAACTTTGTGGGAACAGTTTGGGGATGGCCCCTTCCTGTTCCAACATGACTGCGCACCAGTGCACAAAGCAAGGCCCATAAAGACATGGATGAGTGAGTTTGGGGTGGAGGAACTTGACAGGCCTGCACAGAGTCCTGACCTCAACCCGATAGAACACCTTTGGGATGAATTGGAGCGGAGACTGTGAGCCAGGCCTTCTCGTCCAACATCAGTACCTGACGTCACAAATGCGCTTCTGGAAGAATAGTCAAACATTCCCATAGACACACTCCTAAATCTTGTGGACGCCTTCCCAGAAGAGTTGAAGCTGTTATAGCTGCAAAGGGTGGGCCAACTTAATATTGAATCCTACGACTAAGACCAAGATGCCAATTCATGTGCGTGTAAAGGCAGGCGTCCCAATAATTTTGGCAATATAGTGTAGCTCCCTCTTTGCCAGTGCTACTTCCATGTTTTTTCTCCTTTCTGGATCTGTGGCTTGCACCATTGGCTTGGGCTGTTCATGATTGGGCTATATATCAGTTATCTGTTGGTTCATGGATCAATACAACATATGCTTAACTGCTTGCCGTCCGCCCATTGTAAAAAACGGACAGACAGCAAACTACCATTGGCGGTTTGCCGTAAATAAACGTCTCTGCTTGCGCACGCCCCCTAGTGAGCCGGCCCGCGACCAGCTCGGGAGGGTGTCAGGAAGAAGATGGGAGGGAGATCAGCATCGTGCTTCTTGCTGACCTCCCTCTGACGTCTAAATGCGGAAGTGATGTGTAATAGACATGTGTGATTCGTTTAGTTCCGAATCGAAATTCGGACGAATTTTCGGAAATTCGGACATTCGGATGTATCCGAATTCCGAATTACAGATATAACGAATGCAAACGAATCCGAATTTCCGTTTCCGAAATTCGGTAGCGGTAGTTCGTTCGACCGTTCGTTTCGTATTCGTTTCGTTCGTTGGAGCAAAGTGACATTAGAGAAGGAGAAAACCATGTTTCCCCTCAAATGTCACTTTGCTGCAAACGAACGAACGAATGAATGAAACGAATAATAAACGAAACGAACGTTCGACCGAACTACCACTACCGAATTTCGTCCGAATTCCGAATTGACTTTCACACCCGAATCCCGAAAAACGAAATAACACAAATCCGAATTTAAAACGAAACTAAACTAAACAAATTTTTTGGCAGTGCACATGTCTAATGTGTAATACATTACTTCCACATTCAGCTGTCATTCCTCTATCTGGTATAGCCAGAGAAGAAGCTGATGAAGCAGATCTCTGCTTCATCAGCTTCTTTGGGGGTCCCCAGGTGACATTAGGGTCTTGGAGACCTTTAATATCTCCATAAAGAGGACCTGTCAGTGTGCCTGTGCTATTAGATAGCAATAACATTACGCACATATAAACGTAAATACGCGTCAGATGCGCCAGCGTTGGAAAACGACAATTGCATAACACATGTTACATATCGCCGGGAACATCGGAGTGAGAGCTATAATGTTAGGGCCATTAATGACTGATAACACTAAACTAATGAGCGGTAAAAGCTTTTAAAGCGTCGCCTATGGCCAATTTGAGGTATGGTAGTTTTTTTAGGTTTCGCGGGAGAGCGCAATTTTAAGGCTTGGCATGTTTGGTGTCTATTTACCTGATACCAACATTTTTTTATAAAATGCATTACAGTACAGCGTTGAATAACGGAATAAATGTCGGTCAAATCTCCCCCC